CCTCTCCTGTCCCCTGCTGGGCCAGCCTGGCCTCTCTTGTGGGCCCTCCTGCCTCTCTGGGCCTGATGTGGCTGTCTCCCCAAGTGGCCAGAAGTTGTGGCCTAGAAGAAGGTATGCGGGGTTCTACCCCATGTTCAGGGCAGTGATAATGAACTCAGTTTCCGGTAACAGGTGATAGGATAATCGGCAAGAACTGGGGAGATGAGAGGCCAGCAGCCTGGGGGCTCCCAGCAGACTCCTCCCAGCTCCTCTCCTCTCCCTGCAGGAGCAGAAGCACCTGAGCCCTTCACCCTGGGCCTCAGCTCTCCAGAGTGGTCAGATGAAAGCCCAGGGCCAGTGTACTGTGTACAGTTATACCAGATGCTTCTGGATGACCAAAATTCACTTACTCTCCCGTCCACCCAACACTATGCCAATCCAGTTTTTAGTGAATAAGAAGGGGTTCAGCTTCCGGTTTTATCCCTGGGATTTTGCCCACCATGAACTCCAGTGTTTCCTCTGAGCTCCTACCCTACATATACAAAGTAGTATCTGTCTGCTACAGCTGTGTAACAAGCATGTCCCCTAAATAGAACATTCACTTAGAAGCAGCATCATCAGAGGGACTAAATAGGCCTTGGTCCTAAGTCACTGAGTAACTTTGACCCTTGAAATGTCAGAAAGCAGAGATCCAATCAGATACTTCTATAATCATGAAAGGTGTGTGTGTGTGTGTGTGTGTGTGTGTGTGTGTGTTGAGGATCAAATGCAGGGCCTATTCCTGCTAGCCACCCTCAACCCAGCATTTTAAAGATGAAATTTAAATTTATGTCACATTCTATAAAAAGGAGACAAACTTCATACCATATGTATTCACTTCAGAGAGGGCAACAAAAGTAAAAATCACATCTACAGTTTGACCTATGCATAAGTTGTGGATAAGGCTTAAAATTAAGAAAGAATCCTTAGGTATCAGTAAGCGCTTCACCATGTTATCTCCCATCTCCGTGGCGACTGTGTGGTACGAGATTGACGCTCAGAAAGGCTGAGTAGCTTGGCCAAAGTCCCACAGCCATAAGGTTAGAGCCCGGATCTGCATGCAGTGTATGAAGCTGCATCTCCCCCGCATGTGTGTGTGCATGTGCGTGTGCGTGTGCGTGTGTGTGTGTGTGTAGATCTGTCTTATGGCTTTTATTAGCTGCCCTTCTCAGCTGTCTCCCCGACAAGACCACAGACAGTCTCCCCCAAACCTGCGTGGCACCCCATATTCTGCTGAATTGAATGTAACTGGTTAAGCAAGGCTCTGAGCGTGGCACTCAGGAAAGGGACAGTCCAGGGCCACTCCATCTCCCTGTCCCTTCCTTCCAGAAACCCTCTTGAGTTTCCTGTTGATTTCATGTCACTTTGGGCCATATCCGCGTGCTCCTCCCACATCCCAGCCACTCTGTCTGCAGCAAACCCCCAAAGGACCGAGTCCCTCCCTTTCTTGGTGACCTGGACCCACTGTGAGCTCCAGCTCCTCCCTTGGGCTCCGGCTGTGTCTGGAGTTGACTGTTTGCTGCTGCCAAGAGTGAGCAGAGTGGTCTCCGTGCAGCCCACGATAAACCAGAGAAATATGGGGGGGGGGGCGGTCGTGGGAGGACATTTGTGTTGGTGTGTGGCTGAGGACAGCGGGCCACAGGACGGGAAGGACTGGTATCAGGTGGGGACACAGCAGCCTGTCTCTCTGTCTGTGGGATGTCTGACCATCCGGGTCCCCCAAGCCCTGCCTGGGACCCTCCGTCTGACACTGCCAGTGAAAGCAGCTGTTTGGCCCCTGCCCCTGGCCCTTTGCTCCCTGACACTTAGGTCCAGGCCAGAGGCTGGAGCCTGGGTGGCACCTCACTGACCCACCATCCACAGAGCTGTCACCTCAGGAAACCAGTGCGGGCGACTCATGCCCAGTTTTGTTTGACCCATGGGCTCTCCAAGCACCACAGCTCCCTGTTTTTGACTTTCTAGACCAAGAGCCTCGGCGGGGTTACACGGCTCACACTCACTCAGGCTGAGGTCGCTCCCCCGCCCCGTGTGTCCTCGCCTCGCAGGGTGACCGAGGGACGCCTCTGTGAGCTGGGCTGCTCAGGTATGAGGTTGTCCTGGGGAACCCAGCCCACGCAGGGCATCTTTAGGCCCCTGTGGCAAGGTGTGATGCATGGCCTCTGGCTTCCTCTGCCGCCTGGCAGGCAGGCTGAGCCCCTGCAGCTTCCCCAGGAGCACTCATCACCCTCCTGTCTTCTCGCCCACCCTACATCCTCAGTCCAGCTTGTCAAACTTAGCCTGCACTGCTTCTTCTAAATGCACCCCCCTGGACCTGGGGTATAGCCCAGCAGCATAGCACCCGCCTAGCAAGTGCAAGGTTGTGAGTTCTACTCCCAATAACTTAAGAAAAATAAAATTAAAAAATGCACCTCTTTCAGGCCCTCCCTGCCTTGCACGGGGCTCAGTCCCTGCCAGGTCTCTGGGAGCTGGCGTTCTGTGGAGGGGCCAGCTGAGGAGGGTGCCTGATAAAGCCACAAGACCCACTCAAGGGCAGACAAGGGTGGCTAAAACCACCAGACGATGTCAGGCAATGCGGATCCAGACCACGGCCTTTTGGACCGATCAAGTGGACAAAAATCAGCCTGCCAGGCACTGCTCTGCCACTGAGCTACACCACCCCACAGATCAGCTGCGTCAGAGGTGCTGTTTTCGAGGCACAGACAGAAACTAGGGCAACCGTTAGGAGATGGCTCATCAAGGAACGTACTGTGCTTTTTGTTTTTTTATTGTATGCGAAGAATTGAACCCAAGGCCCTCACACTGACCCATATCCCTAGCCCTAGTTTTTATTTTTTATTTTGAGACAAGATCTTGCTAAGTCCCTAAATTGCCCACAGGGGCGAGAACTGTCAATCCTCCTGCCTCAGCCTCCCAGAGTGCTGGGATTACAGGCCTGTGCCTCTCCTCCTGGATAATAAAGGTTGCCTGTGTTCATCTTGAGACAGTCATACAACAGACGTCTCTCTGGCCAAATTGGATCTACACATAGTGCTACGGAAAGATGCCTGCCATCTCGGGTTACATGAAAAAACCAAGCTGAAGAACATTATGTTCTGGTATCCTTTCTGAGTAAAAAAAAAAAAATTGTGTGTATATGTAGTGTGTGTATCATGGTGTGTGTTGTGGTATGTTATGGTGTGTGTATGCAGTGTGTGTGGTGTATGGTGTGTTGTGTGATACCTGGTATGTAGTATGTGTGGTATATGTGTATATGGTGGTATGTGGCATGTATGTATGTAGTATATGGTGTGTGTGGTCTATGTGGTATGTGTGTGTGTGGTGTTTGATGTCTGATGTTTGGTGTGTATATGTGTGGTGATGTATGGTATGGTATGTGGTATGTATTGGTATGTGTGTACATGGCGGGTATGTGGCGTGCATGTATGTGGTACATGGTATATGGCATCCATATGTATGTGTAGTATATGTGGTAAATGGTATATGTGTGTGATATGTGGTGTGGTTTGTGTGATGTGGGTGAGGTATGTATGTGGTATGTGTATGTGTGGGATATATGTGTGTATATGGAGTGGGTGTGTGTGTATATGGTATGTGTTGTGCCGTACGGTATACATGTATGGGGTATGTGTTACGTGTGGTATGTGTGACATGATGTGTGTAATGTAGTGTGTGCTGTGTGTATGGTATATGTGGTATGTGTGTGTGTTGAATTTTACAGAGTGAAATTGGATCAAAGAGCATAATATAAATGCTTATATGGTTCTGATTAAAGATTGCCAAATTCAAACTGAATCCAGAAGAGCTCCTCTGACCTATGGTATGACTGATAGTGATCTATGAATTCCAGCTTAATCTGGAGTTTAGATTTTCAAAGGGATTTTTTTTGGTGGTGTTGTTTTTAGTTTTTTGAGATAGGGTCTTGCTGAGTGGTCCAGGCTGGCCTTGAACTCACAGCAGTCCTCCTGCCTCAGCCTCTTGAGTGCTGGGATTACAGACGTGTGCCACCCAGCGGGGCTCAGAAAGATTGTTTTACAGGTGTTCTAAATTGGGGTCACCTGAGCTCTTTTTGCCCCGTTACACTCTAATAAGACCGGTGATGTAAATAACGAGAATGCCGATCCCATAGATCATGAAAGTGCTCTGCACTTTGCAGTTTATAAGTAGTGGTGCAGATAATGATTATCTCATTTGATGCCACCAGTCGCACCAGAAGGAAAAGCAGGGCCAGGCCCCTGCCTAACACCTTTATAGCTGACTCAATGGAAACTTCGAGGTGGGCTTGGCTTGAGTGACCGCAGCCTACCGAGGCAATGTCGCTTGTCAGGATCTGCTGGGGACTGCGGCGAAAGGGTTCCGTCTCCCTCAGGGGCCACGCGTTCCTTCTCTCTTCTGCTCATCCTTGCCGCAAAGCTCACCTTTCTCTGCGTCTTTGTCAGCATCCACATGACCGAAAATAGCAATGCCACCCGGCTCTGCTTGTCCTCTAGGTCTGGCCCGACCTCTAGCTCCTAAGCCCATCATCTCGGACAGACTGGGGCCTCCAGCCTCCTAGTGACATGGCACTCTGCTAGTGACCATCCCGGTTGGGGACAGAGCAGGGGACGAGGCCGGGGTGCGGCAAAGAGGAACAGGATGTGGAGCATGTAAGGAAGGCAGGTGCTTAGGAGTGTGTGGATGGGAAGAACCGCCAGGCATTTTACCCTGATGCTTGCTAAAAGCTGGGTGTTCAGGACCCGGGCCTGAGATACGGCAGGAGCAGCGGGCCAGGCCTGCAGACACCCCCAGAGACGACAGTCCCCCAAGGCCAGAGGGCTGGCCTGTGTCCCCTCTTTCCATCCCCAGGACCTCCCTCCAGGCCTCATTCACGCTCTACCCACTGCCCTGAGCGAGGCAGGCTGGGAAGCCTGGTGCCCCCAGAAGGGCCACCACTGGCACCTCGGGTCCCTGACCACCTGGCCAACGCCCGCTGCTCCCTTCTGCAGGTGCGGATCTGGGAGATCCCCGAAGGGGGGCTGAAGCGGAACATGACGGAGGCGCTGCTGCAGCTGCACGGCCACAGCCGGCGCGTGGGGCTGGTCGAGTGGCACCCCACAACCAACAACATCCTCTTCAGCGCTGGCTATGACTACAAGGTGTGCGGCCAGGCAGGGCAGGGCGAGGGGCAGCGAGGGAGGAGGGGTGTTCCGCAGGCCTGCAGAGACCCCTCTCCCTGAGCACCTTGATCAGCATGGCAACTCCACACCTCCCATTGTTCCTGGAGCCCATGGGGGCTGCAGGGGCCGACGGTGAATCCCCATCCCATGCCCACGCTCTGGCCTGGTCACTTCATAACCAGGCAGTGGCCTCTGCCCTCCCAGTGGGAAAAGGAACCTGTGCTATGCTACCCTGAATGCACTGCTCTTGTCTAATAGAAAAGCAGGCAAACTTCCGGCAGCAGGATGAGGGGCCCAGCCCCAGCCCTTGCCCCTGGCCCACGGGTGCCCTCCTAAGAGCTGTGCCAGGCACCCAGGCAAGGGACATTTTTCCTTCCTGCTAGCTGCAGAAAGTGCATCCAGGCTTGGCTAGGAACTGTCAACAGATGAGTGGACGGTGCCACCCGACATTGTGCCCTTCTGCATAGAACTCAGTGATACTATGATGCAGCCCAGGCTACAGGGGCCCCTCAAGGGCGCTGCTCCCAGGGCCCCGGTGAGACCAGGTGCCTCGTCTGCACTTGCAGGTCCTCATCTGGAACCTGGACGTGGGTGAGCCGGTGAAGATGATCGACTGCCACACGGATGTCATCCTCTGCATGTCCTTCAACACGGATGGCAGCCTGCTCACCACCACGTGCAAGGACAAAAAGCTGCGTGTGATCGAGCCGCGCTCTGGCCGTGTTCTGCAGGTGGAACCCAGCATTTTTTTGAGGTGGAGAGGGAAGGTTTTGGGAGTTGGGGCCAGGTTTCCAGCCTCGCCTGGAGGAAATGACTGTGCCGGCCCTCCTTCCCAGCCCATATGCTCTGGGAGCCCTCCTGCCTTGTTCCAGATGGGGATGTATCCCAGATCCTGGTCCTGTCCCTACTGCAACCCTCCCCTGCAGATGGGATGAATCCCCAGGTGCTAATCAAGTCCCATCATAGGTGCAGGACAAGGGAATTGAGGACTCGGTACCCAGCCTTCTGCCTGGGCTGAGCCTTGGGGAAATGGATCAGGGTACCACCCCACTTAGCTCTGTTTTTGGCCTATGGATCTTCTGTCTAAACTATGAGGAAGGGATTTGGTGTCATTTGGGAGTGGCCAGGGACCATTTCTCAAGCACCTATTGTGTGTTGGGCGTGGAATGTACTAGTCAGCTTTTTGTTGCTGTGACCAAACATGCACAGTTGAAAGGAGAAGAGGTTTACTGTGGATCACGGTTTCAGAGGGTTCAGTCCATGGTTGGGTGGCTCCAAGGCAGAAGGGCCTGGTGGAAGAAGGCGGCTCAACTCATGACATCCAGGAAATAGAAAACAGGAACAAAGCCAGAAGGAAGGGCCAGGGACTGTATAGAGGTCTCAAGGGCACACCTTCATCACCCACCCAGAAAGGTGTTTTACTAATCCCTTGGGAATCTCTTGAGTCAATCACGTTGTCAGTCAAGATTAACCATCACATAGGGCTAGGTATGGTGAAAAACATAGACGAAATTAGTGTTTCTCCTACTACACAAGAAAGATTAGTGCCTGATGTGAGTGTATAATACTGTAAGGCCTCTTAGTACTACCAATGAAATAATTATGGCTGTTCAAGGCATCAGTATGAACCAACATTTGCTGTGTGGTGTGTACTGGAAAGGGCTCCGTCACTGTCCTCCGGACAGCCCTCAGGGTGGGAACTGTTGCTCTTCCCGTTCTACACATGACACTGAAGACACTGAGTCTTGGAGAGGGATGCAGACTTGGACTTCCCAGTTCCAGGGGAACCGGAATTCAAATGCAGAGCCCTTGTGAAACAGATGGGGTGCTTAGGGTGGAAGAGCCAACCTCCAATGCATGAGATGAGGACATGAGCCCAGAGGGGTAGGGGTGTCTCCTGGGCTACATTTTTCTGGCGGGGTGGGCAGGGGTAGGATGGAAACACAGACCCAGCAGAGCTGGCCGGAAGGTGTGGGCTGTCCCCCACCCCAGCCACTTCCTCCCTGATGCTGAATCCCCTGGTGAGGGACTGCCTGGCACCGGGAAGAGCTCAGTTCAGGAACCGACGGGCAGGAGTGGGGCAGAGGGCTGCTCAGCAGCATCAGCATTCCTTGTCCTCCTGAGCCTGTTTCCCCACGTTCAAAGTGGGGATCAAGAGTCCTTCCTGGGGGTGTCATTGTGAGGAGTAAGAGATGCCTGGTGAGAGCACCCAACTCGGTGTGGGCCCTAGTGGGACCCGGTGGAGGTCAGCTCCGTCCCTTCCACGTTCCCACCTGTGGGAAACAGCAGAGGCCCAGCTTCCGGTCCCAGGGCTCTGCTGCTCCTGAGCACCTGTGTCTGTTTCCTGAAGCTGCTGTAAAAACCAACCGCAAACCAGGTGGCTGGAAATGACAGGGGCACTCGCTCTTTCACAGCTGTGGAGGGAGATGCCCCCCATCAAGGTGTCGCAGGGCTGCGCCCCTGCAGAGGCTGTAGGGGAGAACCTGTTCGCTGTTCTTCTGGCCTTTTGGCTTTTGGCTGTGACACTGTACAGTATGCCTCCTCCTCGGTGCCTGTATAATCTCACCTCCCTCTTGCAAGGACACTCAGGATGGTATCCAAGGCCCCTGCATAACCCACGGTAACCTCACCCCAGGACCGTTAATTGCACATCTGCAAGGATCTTTTTGCCACATAAAGAGACATTCTGTCCTGGACGCAGGACATGGGCATCTTCGGGGGAAACCACCCTCAGCCACGACAGTGCCCAAGTCTTGGGGGTCCCTGCTCATCCGCTCTCTGTCCCCACCAGGAGGCGAACTGCAAAAACCACAGGGTGAACCGGGTGGTGTTCCTGGGCAACATGAAGCGGCTCCTCACCACCGGGGTCTCCAGGTGGAACACGAGGCAGATCGCCCTCTGGGACCAGGTCAGTGCAGAGGCTGGGGGTCAGAAGGGCCTCTGCTTCCTCAAGGGTGTGAGAGCGGTGTGAGGCTTGGGCTCCAGGTCCCTGGGGGGCCTGGGTCGTCTCCTCCCCACCCTCTCCCACCCACCACGTCTCACAGAGCAGGCGCTGGGGTCAGCAGCAAGTGTGGGGAGAGGAGGGTCCGGGAGAGGGCCGCTCTCCACAGCTGCGTGGGGGTGGGAGGAGAGTGTGGGCCCAAGAGGGCTTTGGGACCCCGCCTGACCACACTGCAGCCTGATGGTGTTTTCTCCAGAATCAGGGTTGGGCTCCAGAGAGATCTGAGACTCGCTTGGGGACACAGAGCCGGTAGTGGGTACCGGGAGGGGACACTGAGGCCAAGCATCTAAGTCACTTTCTGTGATGCAGAATGCAGCTACCGCCCACTGTAGGACAGACTTTTTAACATCGGAGGGGGGACTGGCGTGGTGGTGCAAGCCTGTAATCCCAGCACCTGGAGGCTGAGGCAGGAGGATCACCAAGAGTTCGAGGCCAGCCTGGGCAACATAGCAAGATCCTGTCTCAAAAAAATGAAAAGCCAATAAAACACCAGAGAGGGTCGTGGCATAAAGGGGCTGCAGTTCTGGGCACTGGATGGGGTTGGGACGGCGCCACACCATCCTGCCTGGACACGGGCTGACCCACCATGCCTCCTCCCGCAGGAGGACCTGTCCATGCCGCTGATTGAGGAGGAGATTGATGGTCTCTCCGGCCTCCTGTTCCCTTTCTATGATGCTGACACTCACATGCTCTACCTGGCTGGAAAGGTAGTGGAGGGCAGGGGAGGGTGGGGGCCCCTGGAGGAACCCCATGTCCCAGTGGGCGAGAGCCAGCAGGACTTCTCTGGGTCCCTGGGTCCCCCCTTCCCATCAAGTCTGACACTCACTCTTACTGAAGTGTGGATGACTGACAGTTCCGTCAAGGTCAGTTGGAGTGGGGTTTGCTGTTGGGAAAAAGATTAGAGCCCAAAGTGCAGTGGCAGTGACAGGGGTGGAATTTGAAACATTTATCCAGAGATCTTGGATGACTTCAGCCTTGTTTGTCAGAAAGACTGTCTACCTGCCTGCACTAAACACATGCCTGTAATCCCAGCTCCTTGGAAGGGCTGCAAGTTTGAGCCCAGCCCAGACAACTCCTATGAGACCATGTCTCAAAATAAAAAAATAAGAGCCGGGTGTGGTGGCACACACCTGTAATCCCAGCATCTAGGAGGCTGAAGCAGAAGGATCGCTGCAAGTTCCAGGCCAGCATGGGCTACATAGTGAATTCAAGGCAAGCCTGAACTACATAGCGAGACCCTGTGTCAAAACAAACAGACAAACAGGCAAACAAACAAACTCCTCACCCCTCTTACCCACCCTAGGGTGATGGGAACATCCGGTACTATGAGATCAGCACGGAAAAGCCCTACCTGAGTTACCTCATGGAGTTCCGCTCCCCGGCTCCACAGAAAGGCCTAGGTAAGGGCGAGGGGCTGCCGTGCTGGAGCCTGGGCCCTAGCTGCTGGCCCACAACCCTGCCCCTTGGGGAGGTCTGCTGGCCGTTCTGCAGCCAGTCTGTCCCTGGCCGTTGGGCGCATTGTCCTTCTGTGGCCTGTGTGTCCACTGTCACTTTGTTCAGGGGAGACTGAATGTGGAGTGGGGCTGACACTGGTGTCCGCAGCAGCAGCTCTGTCCTCGCCGATGAGGCAGGAGGTGGTTCCGGTCGCCATCATGGCCAGCGGCCCCGAGCTGCCTGCGTTCTCAGGCTAAGTGCGGATGGGGCGCTGGAGTCGGGCAGGCATTCTTCAGTCTGGAAGTGGCACTTTGATTCCTGTCCACCTATCCTGGCAGTGCCCGCGACGCAGCAGGAGCACTCTGGGGTCCCAGTCACCCTGTGGGCCAAATCTTCCAGTGGCCCCTTTCTGCCTGTGCAGGTGATGCTCCTCCTTAGAGTGGAGTCCGGCTTGTACCCTCTGTGTGTCTGGTGTCACAGGCATCCAAGGGCCAGCGTCAGGGACTCGGCGAGCCCCCCCTCCTTCTCTGATGCCCAACAGCAAAGGGCCCAGAGCCATCTGAGCTCCTAATGACCATTCCTCCTCCCTAACTCTGTCATCCCTGTGTCCTTTTAGGAAAAAGCGTGGAACAAGGTACAAATGGGAGGGCTGGATCCAGGAGCAGAGGGGAAAGCTGGGTTGTACTCAGCATTAATCGAGAGCCAGGCACTTTTCAAAGGCTCAGAGAAATAAAGTAACTCAGGCCTGGAGCTGCAAAGTGGCAAAAACAGAATTCACACCCAAGCCAGGTGTGTGGGTTGGAACATGTAGACCAGCTACTTGGGAGGCTGAGGCAGGAGGCTCACAAGCTCAAGGTCAGTTTGAATGACTAGAGAGGCTTATCTTAAACAAACAAACCAACCAACCAACCAGCAAACAATCCACAACACAGAGGAAGGATCTGGGGATGGAGGTGCATGGCAGAACACTGGCCTGGTGTGCATGAGGCCCTGGGTTCTGTCCCCAGCACGGCAGAAGGGAAATGAGTGTTCGAACCCAGACCTCTGGCTCCATATCCCAGGGAACACGCTTTGCACCTCATCCTAGTTCTTAGAATTCCCCATTTAGAAGAGCGGCCTCTATCCCAGAGGAGCCCTCAAGCCCTGTGTAGGGCTCTTGAGTATCAGCTGTGTGTGTCACCAGGCCAGGCGGGTAACAAGCATCCCCGGTGCCTCCCGTGGCACCCCAGGGGGGCTCAGGGAGTCAGTGATGTGGCCGAGGCCTCCCAGCTACAAAGGGCAGAGTCCGGATTCAAACCCTACTCGTCTCTCCCCAGAGCGGAGTTCCGGCCACCTCTGCCCCCTGCATGGGTCATCACCTGCAGACCTCAGCCCGTGCCTGGCACAGGACACAAGGCAGGGGCCAGGGGAACCAGGGGGCACTGGCCGGGACCCCAGGGAGCCATGTGTCTCCCCGCAGGCGTCATGCCCAAGCACGGGCTGGACGTGTCGGCCTGCGAGGTGTTCCGCTTCTACAAGCTGGTGACGCTCAAGGGTCTGATCGAGCCCATCTCCATGATTGTGCCGCGGAGGGTGAGTGGGGCTCTGGGGCCCCCTGTGTGAACCCAGGCTTGCTCACCGCTGTCCAGGAGAGAAGCCTGGTTGTGGGAGGGGCTTCAGGCCCAACCTGCGCTGGAAGACAGGAGTCACTGCTGTGGGGACGGTGGGTGGGGAGCGGCCAAGGGGAGGCCCCCCAAGAACAAGGCTGGGAGGCAGGAAAGCAAGCAGCCTGGGTGCGGATCTGGCTGGGGCTGTCTCACCCCCGCTGCTGCCCCCTGCAGTCGGATTCCTACCAGGAAGACATTTACCCCATGACGCCAGGCACGGAGCCAGCGCTGACCCCGGACGAGTGGCTGGGCGGCATCAACCGAGGTACCTCACGGAAGAGGCCAGAGCCACCCCCTTGCCTGGCCTGGCCCTCCCCGCCCCCCAGGTGCCCCCTTCCTGCAGCCCCTGCCCCGGCCACCCTCCCGCAGTGCTCAGTGTGACGCCTTTCCTGCTTCCTAGACCCCGTGCTGATGTCCCTGAAGGAGGGCTACAAGCGGTCCCCCAAAGTGGCGTTCAAAGCCCCCATCAGAGAAAAGAAGAGCGTCGTGGTCAACGGCATAGATTTATTAGAAAACGTCCCACCCAGGACAGAGAACGAGGTAAAGGATATAAGTTATTGCCTCCATGGGCCCTGGAGGTGCGAGACCTTTACGTTTCAATTACAGGCTTCAGGCCCGCAAGCCAGCCGCCCTCGGAGGCGTTTGTCTTTCGGTGACAAATACCATAAGCAGCCTGCCCACGGCTTGCACTGCCTCTGACCCCAATAAATAGAGGCTGGGGTGCCACACAGGTGTGGCCACGCACATACCATCAAATGCATGAAGGCAGACTTGGCATCTCCTTGAGAAACCATTTCGGGAGTTGTACATCATGCCTCCCTCCCTGACACTGTGGCAGAAACAAACTATGACACTCGCTGGTCATGTGGAGGAGCTTAGCTATTTAGGAAAGGCTCCATGTACCATGTGGGGTGTATCCAAGCTCATAGAGGGGCACCTAGAGCCGGGCCCTGACTGATCTCCTTCCAGTGTACCTTCCCCAGGCCAGAGTAGCTCAGCTCAGCCCAGCCATGGGCCACACACAAGACCTGAAGTGGCGGGTGGGGCCATCTGCATGTGATCCTGGCTCCTCCATATCCTCCCTGTGACTGAGCAAAGTTCCTGACCTTTCTATGTCCGTTTCCTCATGGAGAAATGGGAATAGGAAGTGCAGTGTGCATTAAAAAGGTGATCTATATAAAGTGTTCCAGGAAGGAGGAGGCCATCTATATCAGCTATCCACTGCTGTGTAATGAATTACCCCAGAACTTAATGGCTGAAAGCCACAGGTGTTTATTATTCCCCAGCTTCCATGCACTGAGCTGCTGCAGCAGCACAGCTGGGCAGTAGTGAGGCCTGAGCTCAGTGGTGGCACTGGGTATGGAGGAGGCGGGCTGGGAAGTGTTAACTTAAGTCAAGGAACGCTGAGCTATCAGCCTGGGAACACGAATCAACTGAGAACCTGGGGGAGACTTCCAAGCATCTCTGCACACACCAGGTAGACATGAGGATTCCTCTACACCAAAGCCAGGCCTCTTCCTCCTGGGGAAGAGTTTGCTCGAGCATGTGGCCCTTGGTGGTACCCGTAGTTTTAAGTATCACAGCAGACTGGGAGCAATGGATAAGATCTTGGGGCTGAGAGTGTGATTTGTAGTTGTGTGGCTTGGTAACTTTCTAAAAATCATTGAATTGTAACTTAGATGCTGAATTTTTAAAATTTTTTTGTTAGTAAAGATGGTGAATTTTACATTATACAAATTATACCTTAGTGAAGCTGCTCTGTGACAAAAATGGACCAAAAAAATCTATGCAAAGAAGTTTTGAGGCTGGGACAGACACAACAGCACAGATACTTACTATACGGGCAAAAATGCTGGGCATGGTGGTGCAGTACTCAGGAGGCTGAGGCAGGAGGATTGCCTCAGATTCAAGGCCAGCCTGGATGACATAGTGAGACTCTATCTCAAAAAAAATTACGGAATTACAATAGCAAATGTAATTCACACAAGAGTTACACAAACACAAGTGGCTGTGGGTGACACTAGACTCTTGTTTGTGGGGGTCCGTGTGTAACCTGTAGCCTTCCGGGTCACCGTGCTTGTGACCACCTGTTGATGTGTCTCATGGAAGGGATGGAGAAGCTGGTCCACCTAAGGAGCGATTGAGTGAGAACCCACCAAGATACTATGCTTTGCCCAGGCCCTTGCAGCAAATCTCTATACTGTTTCTGTCCTAGTCTTGTGTTTTAAAAGCTAAATTCTAGAGCTAGGGACATGGTACAGTGTGTCCCTAGTATACGTGAGGTCCCCAGCATTACAAAATGAAACAACTAGGTTCCATATTGTACCCTGAATCTCCTTAATAAGAGAAAGATGCAAGCCGGGTGTGGGTACATGCGTGTAATCCCAGCATGCTAGGAGGCTGACGCAGGCAGATCGCATTTTTTCACCCAATCTGGGCAATATAGCAATTTAGAAAAACTGTCTCAAAAGGGCTGGGGATGTACTTCAGTGCAAAGGAAATGGATGCAATCCCAAGAGAGAATGCAAAACACTAGAAGGGTTTCACTTAGGATGGTAAAAGGACGGTAAAGAGATCTTTAGGTTTGGACCCCTTTCAAGGGATGGATCAGGGAGCTAGAAAGGCTGGATTTTCTTTCTCCTACCTCGGGAGGAGAAGCAGGACCCACAAGTTGGAGCCAGGCGAGGATGATGGGAAGCTAGGGAAGGTGGGAAAGTGGGGAGTCTGCGACCCCTCCCGAACCGCTCCTCACCTCTCTCCTGGCCTCCGTGGCCATCTCTCCCAACCCAGCTCCTGCGGATGTTCTTCCGGCAGCAGGACGAGATCCGGAGGCTGAAGGAAGAACTGGCTCAGAAGGACGTCCGCATTCGGCAGCTCCAGCTGGAACTGAAAAACTTGCGCAACAGTCCCAAGAACTGCTAGCTCCAGGGCTGCTCTCCAAGTGGATCTCTTCGTGGTTTCTACTCGCCCCTTAACTTCCGCTTAGCAGGTGGCCCCGGAGACAGAACTGGGACTGGAGCAGGGGGGCCAGCCCGAGGACCCCACCTTCCACCTCAACAACTGGAAGCCTACCCTTGACCTCCTGATCTCGCGCTAATCCTAGTTCCCAACGTCTCTTGGAGAACCCCACCCGCACCCCCTTCTCAGCCACCCCAGGAGCCAGGCCTCCCCTCAGCTGGGCCGGGACCTCGGACTCCCCAAGGAGTGCCCTCCATGGACCAGGGACAGAGTGGGATGCAGGATCCCAGCTCAACCTAGGACTTAAACTTTTCCCTGCCAAGGAGCTGCCAGGACACGTGGGCTCCCCCGGCTCTGGGTCCCTCCTGGGCCTGCAGCGTGGGGCTGGATCTCAGGCCGGGGGCTCCCCGCCTCTGCTGTGCCCTAACAGCCTTGGAAACCTGACTCACCTTCCCGTCTCTTCCCATCCTTGCCCTTGCGCAACAGTCCCAAGAACTGCTAGCTCCAGGGCTGCTCTCCAAGTGGATCTCTTCGTGGTTTCTACTCGCCCCTTAACTTCCGCTTAGCAGGTGGCCCCGGAGACAGAACTGGGACTGGAGCAGGGGGGCCAGTTCCTCGTTCCTCTTCAGGGAACAAAGAGGACGCTCTCTAAGGCCATAACGACCCTTCGTTCCTTCGTTCCTCTTCAGGGAACAAAGAGGACGCTCTCTAAGGCCATAACGACCCTTCGTTCCTTCGTTCCTCTTCAGGGAACGAAGAGGACGCTCTCTAAGGCCATAACGACCCCTCGCCTTCCTGTGACTCTCTTCAAAGCTCTTGCACCTCCTTTTCCCACTGATCTTGTGAGCAAGGCAGGGTAGGGATTCACGTCCTCATATGTCAAACGACACAACTGAGGATTGCAATGGGGAGCAGTGTATGACGTCACCCAGCGGGTCAACCGTGGACCCTGGGTGTCCAGACCCCAAGGCCAGGCCCCCTCCCCTGCATCCAGATGCCAACCCCCCCCCAGGCTTGCCCAGAATGAGGGCTGAAGCCACCTCTACCATCAGCCAATACCAGTAGTGCCAATGTGCCACACTGCCCAGTTGAGGGCGCTCGGTGGCCCTGGACCCTCCTGGCCTGCACCTTTGGCTCTGCACCCCCAGGGGTTCCACCTGAGATGAGGCCTCTTCCTCCAGAAGCCAAGGCCGAGAAGGGTGGAGCTTGGCCCTAGGCTTGCAGAGCAGGGTCGGATGGCTTCTGGGGACCCGCGTGTGTCTCTCCCTGCTGCGCCCTCAGCCACTTTCAGCCTTACGCACATAGAATGACCACAGCCACCCCCATCGGACAGCACTTTAAAGTTTACTCAGTTCTTTGACCCCTAGGGTGCCACTGAGCCTCAGCTCAGCCCCACTGCGCAGCCCAGGACGCAGAGAGAAGTGGCCCCAGGGTGCACGGCGCGGTAAGATGCCGCATTTCATTCGGTCACCCCCACCTTTCCGTTTCTTTCCTCATTTCCCCTTTGCATCTCTCACCATCCATGCTGAATCCAGAAGAACTGTTCTCAGAAAGGTCGTGTGGGGGAATCTGGGCATCCAGAAATGAGTGTCGCCCTCTCTCTTCTTGGCTGGGAACTGCTAGACAAGGGACGCTCCACGCCTGCCCCTCCCACGGACACCTGCAGGAGTCCTGTCCACAGAGAACCCTGGGGAGCAGGAAAGGAGCCCCCAGCTCCCGGCCAGGGCACAGGGTCTCCTTGCAGTAGACGGTACCAGCTCTCATCACCTGTCTCACTTCTGGAGCTTTTTTTTTTTTCTTCCCCATTGACCTTTGTGGTCTTCTGTGATTATTTATGCTGCCTCCCAAGGATAGAATTGAAATAAAATGTTTTCAAGTTATCACACCCGGGTATGGCCATCTCATTTGGCCCCTGGGTGCCTCCTGCTCTTGGTGCTTTGATGACCAACATCCTTCATCTCTGTCTGTCTGCCTCTCTCTCTCTCTCTCACACACACACACACACACACGCACACACACGGCCCCTTTGCCTCTGGAATGATAGCTGAGCACTACTGCAGGGGAGACACAGTCACTTCGCATTCATTTTGCCACTGTTGGTGTTTCCAGGCCAGATGCTTCTTTGCAGGGAGGAGTGTGCTATCCTGCGCACTGGGAGATGTTTACAGAATCCCTGGCCTCTGCCAGTCAGATGCTGTACCAACCCCACTCATTTATGACAACCAAAAATGTCCCGGATATTACCCAGTGTGCCCTGAGTTATCAAAATCAGCCCCAGTTGAGATCTACTGGTCCCAGTTATTCAGCAGCTGTCTGGGGCCTGGAGAGACCAACGTCTTATGTCCAAATGTGATCCGCGGGTGATGAAACACAATTCCACACTCCTGACTCAGTGGATCTTTGAGGCTGCTCTACATGTTCTGCTGTTCTGGTTCTCAGGAAGGTCACTCGGCCCTGGAAATGTGGATCTGCTGGGTCCAGGGCCACAGGAAGCCCAGATCTGGGCGGAGCCTGTCCTGTCCCAAGAGGACAGCGGGGCCCATCATGTCTCAGGGGTAGTGTGAGCCTGTGCCCCTGCTCCAAGGCGGGACTGCCCGAGGGAAGAGTGGGCAGGCTGCAAGCTGGTGACCTGAGGCTGCTCAGAAGAGCCCAGGACAGACAGAGGAAGATAGGATAGGAGGAAGCGAGAGGCCGCAGGGGTGGGCTATGTGACACAGACTAAGCCACTTTTTCTCTCTACACAGATTTTCCCCTTGTGTACAGTGAGGGGTGGGGATGATCCCTAAGGTCCCTTCCTGGCCTGACATCTGAGGTTCCTGTTGTGGCAGCAGTTGGGAGGTCCCCAAGACCAGGCCATTGTGTAGCATGGGTGATCAAACAAGTCCACCAGGCAAAAGGAAGTGGAGGGCAGCTTCCCACAGGACCCAGCAATTCACAAAGCCTGGGTTTGAAGGAAACTGAGTTCATCGGAAGCCTGGAGCTCAGAAGCTGCTTCTCGGATGCTGGGGAAGATGGAGCCGGGTCCCTGACATCAGTACCTCAGTTCCCCTGTCCTCAATTCTGGGCTCACTAGGCAGCTTGTCATTCAATTGCTTATTACAGTAAATTATCTCAGCTCAGGGTCCACCTTGCTCTCCCTCCAATCCCAGCAGCTCACTTCCCCTTACTGCACTTGGTAAGTGACTCACCAGTTCCCTGTTTCTGTCTGTACCCTTACAGTTCTTCATATGCCAGGGTGGATTCTGAGCCTGGTCTGTTACGCTGATCTTCTGCCAGTTAGGGTGTAGCCTACACACAGCTTTAAGTCCCTAGAGATGTAGGAGAGGACCAGTGTGGTGCTGCATGCCTGTAATCCCAGCATTCAGGAGGCTGAGGCAGGAGGATCACCACACCCAGTGTGCTTCAGGTGTTTTTAGATTCTCCTAGCTCTGGGAGGGCATCCCAAGTGCTCATGAGCCATGTAGGATGTGGCTGCTCCTTCACTCTGGGAAATGTCGTCATGCTGAAAAGCTCTCCAAGCCCTGCCCCCTGTTCGTGTTGGAAGGACTGTGGTGATGGCACAGATACAGACACTTACCTTGGCCAGAGGAAGCATTACTTGATCCCTCTGGGGCCGGCAGGCCTGCAGTGTAGGGAGGAGACAGTCCCCAATGGGGAGGTTGGCAGAAGCTCCTGGTCCTCCATGTGTTTCCTATTTGGGAACAACCTGCAGCCGATCTTCCCTTGGAATTTGAATTCAGCCACAAGTACAAAGGGTTCAGCCCTACTCAGAGAGAGGAGATGGCCATCTACAGGGTTCGATCTGCAGGTCATAAGAAGCTCCAGTCCTGTGTCCCCAGCCCCTCCCTGACACCTGCCTGTCACACTGCCTGGAATATCCCCTCAGTGCAGCCAGCATCACGCACAGCCCCTGCCTCCTGGGTGGGCTGCTGGTGTGAATGGGGTTAACAGCTGGGACTTCAGTGGGAGGAGGGAGGTGGGGTCCCTGAGGACAGAGAGCTTGGATTTCAAGGTCACAGTGATCACAGCAATATTGAAAGACCAGAAGAATTTGCTAGAAACTTGAATCCAGCCAGCAGGTGGCAGATTCTGGCCTTCCTATCAAGCCTATTTGTTCTGAGCTGGGCCCCTTCCACTGCTCCTCTGCCCCACCCCAGAATTCATGACCCAGCCAGGGGCACCAAAGAATCAAGGCAAAGCAGGCACAGACAGCAGCGAGGATTGAGATCCCAAAGAAGGAGGAGGAGGAGGAGGAGGAGGAGGAGCAGGAGGAGGACGGGGAGGAGGAGGAGGTGGAGAAGGAGAGGGAGAAGGAGGAGGAGGAGGAGGAGGAGGAGGAGCAGGAGGAGCAGAGCAGGAGGAGCAGAAGCGGAAAGAGCAGGAGGAGCAGGAGCAGGAGGAGGAGGAACAAGAAGAGCAGGAACAAGAGGAGCAGGAGCAGGAGGAGCATGGGCAGGAGGAGCATGGGCAGGAGGAGCATGGGCAGGAGAAGCAGGGGCAGGAGGAGCAGAAGCAGGAGGAAGAGGAGGAGGAAGAGCAGGAGGAGGAGGAAGAACAGGAGGAGGAAGGAGGAGGAAGACGAGAAGGGGGAGCAGGAGGAGCAGGAGGAGCAGGAGGAGCAGGAGGCCACTATGGATCACCTGTCCCCAGGACAGGCAGTGCGGGCTCCCCTCTTTCACTGGAGGCTACAGAGTTTGGGCTCTGTGCCTGGAGAACTGGAAGGAGGCTCGGGCTCACTTCCCAGCCCAGCCCAGCCCTGCCCAGCTCTGCTCTGTGACCTTGAGCAGTTTCCCACATGGATCATGATGACAGGGAGGGGCCCTTTTTGCCTGGAGAGTCTGCAGTTCCATGAGGCTTGGGGCTGAGGAGGCAGCAGAAGAAGGAACTGGAAAGTAAGGGAGATGGCAGAAAAGGATGGGCAGGGGCAGGGGTCCGGGCAAGACCTCTGCCCAGTCCTGGCTCCCCAGCTCTAGGAAGTGGCTGGTAAGGGAAACAGGACCATCCCCTGAGCTCTCTGCTCCCCAGGTGGGAGCTGGTGGTCAGAGAGCCTGAAGAGAAAAGGAAGAGCTATGATGTGAAAGAATGGAAGGGGGTTTATACTTCTCTTGTAAACCACTCCTATCACATGCTGGACCTGGAAGCATGCTGGCTTCACCTCGCCTAGCAAAGGCGCTTTGCGATACATGAAAGAGGAAGAGACAAAGTCTTAGAAGATGTTATTTATCACCTGAAGACCTGATGGGGGCTTGGCTTCCCTTAATCTCACTAGGTAGCTCCAGCTTGCCTTGAACTCATGGCAATCCTCCTGCCTCAGACTCCCAAGTGCTAGCATTACAGGCATGCACCACCATGCCCAGCTCTGGCTGGGGCTTCTTAGCAGAAGGATTCAAAACTCTCCCTCTCAACCCCCAGGGATTTCCTGCCCTAATCTCCCCTGACCAGCTCCTTAGGATGCCTGAGAGTCACAGTGTCCAAAAG